CCAATCGATGAAATCTCGCAAAATAGGACGATGGCATACATTACTTGGTTGAACATTATAGCTTGACAAGACTAGAACAGTAAGCTCCAGATTCATGGCTTGTATAAGAGGAAAAAAGGCACAACGAAATTGGCCAAGCTCGGTCATCTGTATTACTATATTCAGCAATACTACAAGTCTTAGCTCCCGTTTGGCCTCTATTAAATTATAATTCATTTTTCTCTCTCTTCCTATCAACCACACATTATTCAATAAAATAATATTATACGTAAACTCAAAATTTTTTCTTTCTTTTTTAACCACACAATCTCTAAAAAATTACTATTCCTCTCATTATAATGTGGAATAATGGGGACCAAACGGTCGCTTCTTTTCATTAAAAAAATGCCAGCAAGCAAAATTGTTATTCTATTAAAAAATTATTTGAGTTGATCTAAAAGTACCACGTCATTTCTATTCATCGACAAGCAAAAAATGAAACGGAAATCCTTTTTACTATAATTTTATGAAGACAAAAACTCTAATATCTCGATACTTATGGGTCGAATTGTCTGTAAAGTTATTTTAAATATATGAAAACGCATCTACCGCATCCTTAGGCTACTACCAACATATACAATAACCAATAATGTTAAATGTACATTTATTCCCTTACATTGTGTTTGACATTTCCTTCGTTTTTAAAAATTTATGGGTGGTAAAAGTGCTTTTTTTTAATCTGTCTGATGATGTGTTGTCATATGATATAATGCAAACAACAATGTACATATAACATAATTTTACAAAAATAAATTGCTTTGTGATCAAGTGGCTGCTTTTAAATTTCAAACACTTAAAAACTGCTTTATTCTTTAACTAATGCTTTAATTAGCATTAATTAAAAACCTGGTTTATTATTTAATTAATTAATGTGGTTAGTGCATGCGTAATCTTAACTCTTAAGAGCTGCTTTATCATTTAATTAACAAGTATTGATGAATGTAGTTGATGCTAGTCTCAATACAAAATCAGCTTATTTTGGCACCATACAAATTTAAGACAAATTTGGGCATGTTTATAAATATAGGGGCTTACTACTTTCTTTGGCTCAAAATAAATAGAATTATGGATCCACGCAAATAATTATGAATAAAAAAGCTCAAATTACAGTATAATCTTGATAAATAAATGTTCGATAAATTAATAATCTCGTTTAAATAATAAAAAATTTTCAATCCCAACTTGGATTAGTGTACTAAATTAAATCCGTTAAGGCCCAACGAACATATAAAATAATAAATGCTTAAGTTCATAAAAGTTCGTACTAATACAAATTGAGAAAATTACCATAAACAAGGTGTTTAGTTTTGACTTTTAAAAAAAATCAG